ATGATCACGTCATCTGCAATCAAAGATTGTTTTATTTCTTCCTTCCCAAACTTTATACCTTTTATTTCCTTTTTCTTGTCTTATTGTATTATCTAGAACTTCCAGTATGATGTTGAAAAGGAGGGTTGCCTTGTACCTCATCTTAGTGGGAGAAGCTTTGAGTTTTTCACCATTAAGTATGATGTTAGCTGTTGGGTTTTTTGGTGGATATTCCTTATCAAGTTGAGGAAGTTCCCCTCTATTCCTAGTTTACTGAAGTTTTTTTGGTCATAAATGGGTGTTAGAGAGCTGATTCTTTTCTTCCGCCTCCTCCTCCTCCTTATTGGTAATGCTTTCTTGAGATATAATAATTCACATACCATATAATTTACCCATTTGTAGTATACAATTCAGTGCTTTTTAGTATTCTCACAGAGTTATGCAACCATCACTACAATCGATTTTAGAACTTTCTCATCACCCTAAAAAAGAAACTCTGTACCCTTTAGCAATCACCCTACCCCCACTCCCACTCCTTTCTCCTAGCCCTAGGAAATCACTGATCTAGTTTCTGTCTCTTCAGGTTTACTTATTCTGTGCATTTCATGTAAATGGGATTATTCAATATGTGGTCTTTTGTGTTTGGCTTCTTTCACTTAGCATAATGTTTTCAAGGTTTATCATGTTGTAGCATATATCAGTACTTCATTCCTTTTTATTACTGAATAATATTCCATTGTTTGGGTATACCATATTTTGTTTAGCCATTCATCAGTTGATGAACAGTTTGGTTGTTTTTACTTTTTGGCTGTTATGAACAGTAATATGAACATTTGTGTACAAGTTTTTGTGTAGACATATGTTTTCATTTCTCTTGGATATATACCTAGGAGTAGAATTGCTGGGTGATATGTTAACTCTATGTTTAACCTTTTTAGGAACTGCCAGACTTTTCCACAGTGGCTATATCATTTTATTTTCTACCAGGAATGTATGAGAGTTCCACTTTCTCCATATCCTCCTTAACACCTGACTTTTTGATTATAGCCATCCTAGTGAGTGTGAGGTGATATCATTGTGGTTTTATTTTGCATTTCCCTGATGATTAATGATGGTGAGCATCTTTTCATCTGCTTATTGGCTATTTGTATATCTTCTTTGGAAAAATGTCTGTTCACATCCTTAGCCCATTTAAAAATTGTCTTTTTATTACTTAGTTTTGAGAGTTCTTTATATATTCTAGATACAAGTCCTTTAGTAGATATATGATTAGCAAATATTTTCTCCTTGACTTATCTTTTCACTTTCTTGATGGTGTCCTTTGGAGCACAAAAGTTTTTAATTTCGATAAAGTCCGAGAGCTCATTCTGACTGCTGTGTCTGAGCATGGATTCTAGGGGGCAGGTGTGGAAGCAGGAGAGCAGTCATTAGAACATTGCAGTGGTCCAGGTGAGAGGTGTGATGGCTTCATCCCAGGCATGGCCACAGAGTTGGTGAGAAGGAGTCGGGTGTGAGACAGGTGAGGAGATAGAGCTGATGGAACAAGGTGAGGGATGTTGTTAGGGGTGAGGGAGAGGGAGAGAAAAGGGGTGAATGCTAGGATTTCAGCTTAAACAATTTTGATTCAAAATTTGATTATGCTGTCTGTTACCTGCCACAGAATTGTGATAATTTTTAATCCCTGCTAGAGCCTGAGAAGTGAGCCCTACACTCCCTCCTTAGACATTTTGAAGTTGCTTTTGGTAGTATTAGCATTAGTTGTGCCAAGGAGATAGTTCCAGGGACTCTGACCATCCATAATATCAATGAGTACCTCCTAAGCCACCTCAAATAAACATATAATCTGAGTTAGAACAGTGTGGCTGCTCTTCGCATCCTCTGGCCCTCTCCTAGCCAGACTACAGGCTCAAAGCCCCTCTTGTGTGGAGATCATGGCGCTGTTGGTGAAGAGGATCACGTCAAGTGAATGAATTTTTGAAATTTTAATGTCATACTTTGACATCTACTTTGAGGAAAAATCTTTTCAAAGGAGGAAATAACACTAGCTGTCATTTGTGAAGTGTTTTATACTTCTACTAGCTTACCAGGAGATCTCATCAGCCAAAAGCAGAAATTAAAACATTTTGGCCGAGGAAATTTTGGTTTATGCATACAGTGTGTTCTCTGCAGTTTTTCTATATAGTCATTAAAAATGATGTTCTAGGGAATATTAATGACATGCAAATGCTCATTATTTATTAAGTGAAAAACTGTGTGTGCCCACACACATGTATCTATAGCTATCTATAGATACAGCGTATCCCTATATGATAGGATTGTGAGTGGCTTTTATTTATTTCGTTGTACTTTTCTGTATTTCAGAATTTTTGATAGTGAACATTTATAACAGTTATAAAAAGAAAATTTTATTTTAAAAACATTACATAAGTTATGGAGCATCAGTCTGTTCATGTGCACACACACATCAAAGAAACAAACCGTTTACTGCTCCTGTGCTGCCGTTATGCTTGAGGCTGGAAAGAAGATTGTTGAAATGGGGACGGTTTCCTCATCTGTAAAATGGAGAGAACAGTGGTGCCTACCTCATAGTTTTTTTGTGAGGATTTAATGAGTTAGTGTGCTAAGAACAGTTTCTATTAAGTAATAGTGTTAGCTGTTACCGTTATTGCTATTTGTTGTTGTTATTTCGGCTTTAGTGTCCCTTGCCCTTAAAATGATCTACATGCTTGCCCAAGGCGTCTGCCAGCGGCCATTCTTTCTTGAGCTTGCCTCATAGCCATTTCATTCTCGTTGGATTCTCATGTGTCTTGCCCACCTTTCCGGAGCACTTGCACGAACCAAGGATTGGGGAGCATGGATCTCTCTTAGTCAAGGCACTCTCACCCCTAAAAAGTTGTAAATTTATGAACTGTGCCACTGTAGGCATGGGGCCAGTGTTCACCATCCAGATTTCGGTTGCACTAGGCACTTAAAACTGTGTGACCTTGGGCAAATTTCTGGACTTTCCAGAGCTTCAACTTCTGCTAAAAGAGGGTATATTAGTCAGTGTTCTCACCCATCACAGAGGGATATGATTATTATTATTTGCTTAACTTAGGGAAGTTCTCGTAAGTTACCCTACTGACTTCACTGTGTTGGCTACTGTGACTATCAAATGACATAGGAATCTGAAGATGCTTGGGAAACTGGAGCTGTTGTACTGACTTAGGGGATTATTATTCCAGCGTTGATTTGGGGCCACATTGAAAAGATGGGATTTTGCTGCTCTTCCATTCTTGTCACTCATTCCTTCCTTGCAAATTTTTCTTTTTCATAACTCATTCGTTTATTCAGTAAATACTTAGTGAGCGCCTCCAGTGTGCCTGACCTTTTCCTGGGTGCCGGGGGCTAGAGGAGTAAGTGAGGCAGATGTGGGCTCTGCTCTGGTGGGGCTTACGGACCAGTGGTGGTGGAGGGGGTCAGGCAGAGATGGCCAGTCAAGAGCAAAGAAAGAGGATGTGTGGAGAGAGTAAAGCAGGGGAGGGGATGTGACAGAGTTCTCAGTGGGGGCAAGGAGGCCACTTTGGGGAGGTGGGCAGGTAAGGCCTTGTGAGGAGGGGACATTTTAGCAGAGACCTGCATGTTGAGAAGAAGCGAAGGCTGAGTGACATCTGGAGAATGAGCATTGCGGGCAGAAGGGCCTCTGGGTGAAGAGGAGTTGGGTGTATTTCAGTGGAAGAGGGCTTGCAAGTCGGCTAGTCAGCTCTACAGAAATAGGAAGCCCACAGTTCAAACCGACTGTAAATCCAGCATCCCAAGGAGTTTCTATTCTAGGGACTTGAGAGTCTCCATAGACCTAATGGGCTAGACTATCCCTCCAGGTCTAATCAGGTACAGAGCATCCATCTGCAGGCCACCTGTCGATGGCCTGTCAGAGCTGCAACCGTGATATTGGCAAGGGCCCAGGACTTGGCGGGAGAAAACCCAGAGTCAAGTCTCACCTGTGTGGTCCTGTGGCCCTCAGTACCTTCATCTAAAAGTGGGGGATGGTGTCACCTATCTTTAAATGAGTGAGTGAGCACTTCACAAATTATAATGTGCTGTGTAAGGATTGAGTTGTTTTTTTTTTTTGAGGAAGATGAGCCCTGAGCTAACTACTGCCAATCCTCCTCTTTTTGCTGAGGAAGACTGGCCCTGAGCTAACATCCGTGCCCATCTTCCTCCACTTTATACATGGGACGCCTACCACAGCATGGCTTTTGCCACGCGGTCCCGTGTCCACACCCAGGATCCAAACTGGCGAACCCTGGCTGCCGAGAAGCAGAACGTGTGAACTTAACAGCCGCACCACCAGGCCGGCCCCCAGGATTGAGTATTTTTATCTAGGGAAGCTTTGACTCCAAAGTGCCGACAGGTGTGGGTCTCAGTATGGAACAGATGAGAGGCGCTGTGTGTCTGTGGCTCCGAGTGCTGAGGAGGCTGGGGGCACCTGGCCAGGGTATCTGTTTCTCCACCGTCTCAACACAGTGAGTGTGTTTCTGTGTCTGAGATTGGTTTGGTGTTCTCCTAGTAAAGACTGTCTTTACTAGGTTCTTTTTTCCACATTCCGTCCATTCTGATGGGCTTCAGAGTTCAGGATGTTTCCAGTGAAGGCTTTTCCACACTCGAATCCACAGTACTCTCTCCCTCTTCTCGTTGAGACCCACAGATTCGCGCCTAATCATATGTGGTTTTGTGTCTCTTTACTGTTTCTTTTGCCTCTCTGGCTAGATCATAAGCTGTTTGAGGGTAAGAACTGTTTTTAATATTCTTTCCACACCCTCCATAGTATTTACCACAATATAACTTACAGGGGCCAGTGCATATTGAAGTACATTTTGAATTAAAATGCTCAAAAGTGATCTTAATGATAACTGGTTTACTTTCTCTGTTTGATGAAGCTCCAGCTATAATTTTCACCTGAAAGTTCCTTGTTCCCACAATTAAACATGACTTGTCTTTGACTAGGCATTGAAAGAATTATAATTATTTCATTTTTCTAGCCCCCAGGTTTCTTCGATGCCAAATAAACATTCCTTTTCCTGCCTGAAGGTCATCTGTGGAAACCTTGGCCATGGCGTCCACATCAGAGCCTGTTACCTTCAGAGAGTTCTGCCCTTTGTACTATCTCCTCAATGCCATTCCCACAAAGATCCAGAAGGGTTTCCGCTCTATTGTGGTCTACCTTACGGCCCTTGACACCAATGGGGACTACATTGCTGTGGGCAGCAGCATCGGCATGCTCTATCTGTACTGCCGGCACTTCAACCAGATGAAAAAATACAACTTTGAGGTGAGTCTTTATACCTTCTTTACATCTTAGCATGCATGAGCCGTGGCTCACTTTTAACATGGTTGTGACTTCTAGGGTGGGATAATTTACGTCTGATTTGCTAGAATATGGCCCTAGTACCTCATCCAAACAGTATTTTAAAACCATCTTTAATTGGGTGGAGTATAACTAGAAAAGTTGGTGTTTTTAACTTTTTTCCTGGCTCCAGAAATCTAGCATCGCTTTTTTTTTTTTTTTTTTTTGAGGAAGATTAGCCCTGAGCTAACTACTGCCAATCCTCCTCTTTTTGCTGAGGAAGCCTGGCCCTGAGCTAACATCTCTGCCCATCTTCCTCTACTTTATATGTGGGACGCCTACCACAGCATGGCTTTTGCCAAGCAGTGCCATGTCCGAACCTGGGATCCGAACTGGCGAACTCAGGGCCACCGAGAAGCGGAACGTGCGAACTTAACTGCTGTGCCACCAGGCCGGCCCTAGCATCTCTTTAAAAGAGAACACTTTAGTGTTTAAAGCTTGATAGAAAACTTTGGAAGTAACGTATTTTTTTTAAGTTTCTTGTTTCTCAAAGTACCTTGACTAGCTTACTTGAATAATCTCTAGTTATTCTGTTGAAATTGTTATTTAAAAAAAAGATTATATCATTATTGGCTAGCTGCCAGAGCATGTACATCTTAAGTAAAATCACTTTTGGAGAACACTGCCACTGGATTCCTGACCTACCTCTGTCCTGTGTTGGTTCACTTGGGCATGTCTGTGTATTGTAGATGTTTGTGGGCACCAAGTATTGACGGACGATCTTTGAAACCCATTTAGTCACTGTCTGTGGTTTATTGAGTACATGGCTTTTGTGAGAGACTCAAAGGTGACTGAGTTATGGCTCCTACCTAATGGCCTCGTGGGGCTCTGCTCTGTCTGTGGTTAGTGGGCTTTTACGGACTAAGACGAGGCTATTGTGTTTAAGAGAAATATTTATGAATATCTGTATTTTAATGAGTATTCAACTCATTAAAGTTTTAATTTAATAGTTACTTTTTCTTAAGTCTCTGTGCTCAGTTTAAAATAACAAAAATGGTTAGCATGCATATAGCACTTACTATGTACCAGGCGTTATTCTAAACCTTACATATATTATCTCGTTTCATCCTCACAGAAACTCTGAGGGAGATGTTATTATCATCATCCCCATTTTGCCAGGGAGACAGCTGAGGCACAAAGAGATTACATGATTTGTTCAAGGTGAAGCAGTTAGTAAATGGTGGCACCATTGTCTGAACTTGGGCAGATTGGCTCTCGAGTTTATATTAATATTTTTGTATAAAAGTTAGAATTATTGCTATTTCTTTTCTTTCATTAATAGCTCATGGGTTTGACTGATCAAATTCCCCAAACATTTAAGACTATTACACAGTTAATCTTTGAAACTATAATTATGAATTAATATATCTGAAATCTCTCAAATACTTCAAATACCTAACAAGGAAGACATGATTCTAACAGCAAACCTCTAACAGGGTAAACCAAAGAAATCCATGGCCAGACACATCATAATCAACTGCTAAAACTAAAGACAAAGAAAAGTCGCCAGAGAAAAATTACACATTACCTGTAGGGAACAATGATTTGCGTGACGGCAGATTTCTCCTCAGAAGCCATGGAGGCTAGAAGACAGTGGTACCACATTTTTAAAGTACTGAAAGAAAAGACTTGTCAGCTCAGAATTCTTTGCTCAGTGAAAATATCTATCAGGAAAGAAGGTGAAATAAAAATATTCTCAGATGAGGGGCCAGCCCCATGGCCGAATGGTTAAGTTCACGAGCTCCACTTCGGTGGCCCAGGGTTTCACCAGTTCTAATCCTGGGCGTGAACATGGCACCGCTCATCAAGCCATGCTGAGGCAGCATCCCACATGCCACAACTAGAAGGACCCACAGCTGAAAATACACAACTATGTACTGGGGGGTTTGGGGAGAAAAAAGAAAAATAAAATCTAAAAAAAAAAAAAAATTCTCAGATGAAGGAAAACTAAGAGGATTCATTGTCCCCAGACCTGCTTTAAAATAATTGCTTCAGGAAGTTCTTCAGACAAAAAGGAAATGATACCAGAGGGAAACTTGGAACATCAGGAATGAAGGAAGAATAGGTATAAATACCTGGGCAAATACATTAGACTATCATTCTCCTCTTGAATTCTTTAAAATATATTTGACAGCAAAAATTATAACTGAGTTTTCAGGGTGTAATACATAAGACAACTCTAACATAAGAGGGGAGAGTAAGGGACCTCTATCATGGTAATGGTTCTCATTCTGCTTGAAGAGGTAAAATAGGGAGTCTGAATAGATTTTGAAAAGTTAAGAGCAACCACTAAAAATAACTGTAAAACGTGGTATAGGAAAAATCACTGTAGACAAATCAAAATGCAATTTTTAAAAATGTTCAGACAACTCACAGGAAAGCAGGAAGGTGGAAACAGAAGAAGGAAAACCAGAAGGAACAGACAGAAAACCAATAAAATGATAGACCTAAATCAAAACATACCAATAATTATATTAAATGGAAATGATCTACACATGTCAATTAAAAGACAGAAATGATCCAAATGGAGAAAAAAATAATGAACCAACTATGTATTGTCTATAAAAAACTCAATTCAAGTATAATGATATAAGTAAGTAAAAGGTAAGAGGATAGAAAAAGACGCTGTGTAAACGCTAAACAAAAGAAAGTTGGAGTGGCTGTTATTAATTTCAGAGTAGTCTTCTGAGCAAAGGAATAACCAGGGATAAATACAGATATTACATAATGATAAAAGGGTCAGTTCACCAAGAAGACATGGCAGTCCTAAATTTGTATGCACATTAACAACAGAGCTTCACAATACGTGAAGCAAAAACTGACATAAATGAAAGAAGAAACAGAAACCCACAATTATAGACGGACACTTCAACAGCCCTGTGTCAGTAATAGAAGTAGTAGACAGAAAATCAACAAGGATATGAAAGAACGGGTTAAACACTATCAGCCAATGTAATCTAGTCGACGTTGACAGAACACTCTACCCAACAACAGCTGAATACACATTCTTCACGAGTGTACATGGAACACTCACTGAGATAGACCATATTCTGGCTCATAAAACACACTGCAGCAAATTTAAATTAGACCAGGCTTTCCAGCCCCTTGTGTCTTATGTCATTTTGTTTTTTCACTTTTTAATTGAGTATGATTTACATAAAGGGTACAGATCTCAAGTGTACAATTTCATGAATTTATATGTGTGTGTACATCCTTGGAATCACCCAGATCAAGACATGGAGCACTTCCAACAGCGCAGTAGACTCCTTCGTGCCCCCTCCCGGTCAGCACTCCTCCCCACGGTCCCTACTCTTCTGACTTCTAACACCACGCAGTAGTTTTTCTGGCCCCTTGGGTTTTAATTCTGTCTTGGGTAACCTTTGGCATTAAGGTTAGTATGCATTAGTGGAATTTGGACCCTTTACTCAGGTTGTAATTGCAACCCAGTTCTCTTTTATAAAACACTCATTTCATTGATCACCATTTTATTGTCCTTTTTCTTTAAAACTGTGTAACTGTTTTTAAAATCTCAGCCACCAAACTCAAAAAAGCTTAAGTTAAAGAAACGGAGTTTGGAGCTCCCCAGAATGAAAGTACAAATTACAGCTGACTGCCAGTTTTATAGTTTTACCTAGAATTGGTTTTCTGTTTATCATATGATGAGCCTGTGGGCTTTGGAGAAATGTGATGTGCTAGGACAGCCTCCACAGGGACAGCCAGAGCTTGGGGGGGTCTAGGACAAATGACTGGCCTCAGCAGCCTAGAAGGGGACTCCGCGAAACCCATGTCTATACTGTTACTGGCTCTCCCTTACGGAGGGACTGTAAAAAAATGGATTTTACTGGGGCCCAAATCCCCGCTTGGCAGCCCTGAGTATCAGTAGCATTTTTGAGCACCCATACGGTATGGAATACAAACATAATTGTAGAGAATCACAAAGGAAGTAGAAAATAAAAATTCTGTTTGGAAAGAACACAGAATTTCACTTTAGAATATTAGGGTTTGAAAACAATTGAAATATCTGTCTGTAAAACACATAGGAAAGATCTGGAGGAATACCCCCAAACTATTCCTGATGGTCACCTAACTCTAGGTGGGACTGAGAATGGGATGGGGTGAGGGAGTGGGTGTGAAGGGGAGGTTGTTTTTACTGCTCCGGTCACTGGAAGAGAAACTTTATTGAGGCCCCAGGGCCATGGGGCTCAGGCAGGAGTCTGCCCTTCGGGCAGAAGAGGAGCCAGAGGAGGGGCCTTGTTCGACCTTCTTCTTGGGGCACAGGTTGTTGGAGGGGCCGCGCTTCTTGCGGCAGTTGGCAGCACGGGTGCAGATGAGCACAGCTCTGGCGGCACATCATCCTGTGGCACTTGTGTTCCTGGGCAAGCTGGCGGGAGGGAAGGCTCAGTGATGTCGCTCCGTGGGTGAAGCTCCGAGCACAGCGTGGAGCCTTCCTGGGTATTGTAGTCTGAGGGAGCGCCGTCATCCTCCAGCTGTCTGCCCGCACAAACCAGACGCTGCTGGTCAGGCAAGATGCCCTCGTTGTCTTGGATTTTAGCTTTAACATTCTCAGTGGTGTCACTGGCCTCGACCTCGAAGGTGATGGTCTTGCCCGTCAGGGTCTTCACAAAGATCTGCATCTCTGCTTCCACTCAGCCACCTTGTTGAGGAGGAAAAGGTTTCTTTTTAAAACTTTAAATACTGTAGAATTATTAGAGTTTTTTGGTAATACGAATGTATTCAGGGGCCAGCCCGATGGTGCAGTGGTTAAGTTCGCACGTTCTGCTTTGGCGGCCCGGGGTTCGCCATTTCCGATCCCGGGTGTGGACATGGCACCGCTTGGCAAGCCATGCTGTGGTAGGCATCCCACGTATAAAGTGGAGGAAGATGGGCATGGATGTTAGCTCGGGGCCAGTCTTCCTCAGGAAAAA